AAAAAAAAAAAGAAGAAGGTCAAGAAAGGAGAGTGTTGACATGTCATGGGGTTGTTAACCAATGTCATAAAACAATACGTGTACTGATTGTTTAATGAGAAACTATTTGTTCTGTAAACCTTCACCTACAGTACAATAAAAAATAAAAAAAAATGCCGTTAGAATTTAGATCTGGATTGCATTGTATCTGTAGATCGCTTTGGGTAGAACTGACATTTCCACTATGTTGGGTCTACCTATCCATGAGCAAGGTATGTTTTTCCACTTATGCAGGTCTCTTTTGTTTTCTTGCAGTAGTGTCTTATGTTTTCTTTGTCTAGGTCTTTTAAGGCTCTGTTTAGACTTATTCGTAAGTATTTTATCTTCTTGGGGGCTACTGTAAATAGTATTGATTTGGTGATTTCCTCTTAAAAGTTCTCTTTCTTTGGTGTAGAGGAGTCCAACTGATTTGTGTATGTTTATCTTGTATCCTGATACTTGGCTGAAATCTATTAGTTCCAGTAGTTTTCTTGTGGATTCTTTGTGGTTTTCTTTGTATCAGATCATATCTTCTGCAAATGGAGACACTTTACTTCTTCCTTACCAATTTGGATGTCCTTTATTTCTTTTTCTAGCCTAATTACTCTGCCTAGGACCTCTAGCATAATGTTGAATAAGAGCGGTGATAAAGGGCATCCTTGTCTGGTTCCCATTCTCAAGTGGAATGCTTTCAGACTCTCTCCATTTAGGATGATGTTCGCTGTTGGCTTTGTATAAATGCCCTTAACTATGCTGAGGAATTTCCCTTCTATTCCTATTTTGCTGAGCGTTTTTATCGTGAATGGGTGTTGGACTTTGTCAAATACCTTTTCTGCATCAATTGATAAGATCATGTGGTTCTTGTCTTTTATTTATGTGATGGATTACGCTGATTGTTTTTCTAATGTTGAATCATCCCTGCCCATCTTGCGTAAATCCCACTTAATCACGGTGAATTATTTTTTTGATATGTTGCTGAATACTATTGGCTAGAATTGTGTTGAGGATTTTTGCATCTATGTTCTTGAGGGATATTGGTCTGTAATCTTTTTTTTTTGTGATGTCTTTACCTGGTGTTGTTAGATACCTTTTTCTATAGTGTACCAAAGCAAGTCTGGTACTTCAACTTGATTTAGTGTAGGCCACATGTAATCCATGCTTCAGCGACCCAACCAAATAAATTATTAGATCCTTCCCTAACCTCTTGAGCTGAAACACTGAATGAAGAATCTGTGCTTAGTGGGCCTATCTCAATAAACTCAGACTGATGCATCTTTATGTTCCTTACACCATTATCCCACACCCTTAATAGCCATTCCACACATATTCTCCAGGTTTCTGTTTGTACATATTAGAAAAGTCAAGCAGTTCTTTTGGAGTGTAGCATATCTCCTCCTGGGTCATACTTTGTACTTCACCTTTTGGGGCTTGCTGTGACTTAAGTCTAGTTATAGGTCTAGAAGCCAAAATAGGTGGTGGGGGTGTTTTTTGAGAACATTCAGCATTATCTTGTAGGGCATCTCCCTCAGTCAATGCCCCAGGCAATGACTCAGCTGTCTCCCCAGAGATGACTCAGATTCCACCCCAGATGATATCTCAGACAAAGGCTCTTCAGACACAGCTGGGTTAATCTCATCAGATGGGGGTGGAGGGGCTAAAGATTTTGTTGCCAGGAGGGATTCAAGGGAATTTAGGGACTCATTGTCCCCAGCTTCCTGATTATCTGCCCATATGTCCCCATCTCAAGTTTCAGGATCCCATTTCTTCCCAATCAATACCCTCACTTTAGCGTCAGACACCATTTGAGGTTGGGAATTCAACTGACGTTGTAATTCAGCCACTCTTATGATAAAGCTCTGGGTTTGGTTTTTGGGAATATGGGCTCTGTTACTATTAGAAATAAGGCTTTCTTTCAGGGCACAAAAGGCAATTTTGAGGTCATTTATGTGGCGTTTTAGCTATGACTCTGAAGCTCTAAAGCTCATCTCTTTCTTTTACCACTTTGTCTAGTGAAAGTAGGACCAACCAACTAGCTTCCTCATACTTCTCATTCTGATAAAACTGTAGAAAAGTATCAAGCATGCGATTACCCAGAGACTCACCTCTCATCAGTGCTTGATCTATTGGCGGTGATATTTTGCTTATTTTTATTGCCACCTCATGCCATGGATTAGCAGTGCCCTCTTTACTACTAGATGCTGCGTCATCAACATCTTTAAGACTAACTAGACTTGAAAACCAATTTAGAAAACTCATGCTTACAATTCTGTTTCTCTAGAACCACTCCCAGTACAAAATGTCTTAAGCTAGGTTCTCCAGAGAAGCAAAACCAGTGAAGTGTATACACACACACACACCTATATAAAGAGAGAAAGAGAGATTTATCTCAAGGAAATGGCTTAAACAGTTATAGAGGCTGGCATGTTACAAGTCCAAGGGTCAGGCTGAAGGCCTCTCCCAACTCACATAGCTGCAGGGGCTGATGAACCAAAGATCCACAGGTCAGACAGCAGCCTGCTGGCTCACAGGCCTCAAAGGCTGATGAATCCAAGATCAGCAGATAAGACGGCAGGCTGTGGCTCACGTCCCAAGAACCAAAAGTCAGATGCTGTCGAGACGAATACAGGATCCACAGCAGAGCAAAAGCCACTAAGCTTTGTCATAAAATCCACATATATTGGATGTAGGCCACACCCCTATAGAGACTCCCTTTCAACTGATTGGTTACTCATAGCAGATCTCATCATGGAGGTGATTACATTATATCAGATTTCATCATGGAAGTGATTATATCATTACACAACTGCCAACCTACATCATAACTGCTAAACCACTGAGAAGTCAAGCCAAGGTGACACACAAACTTGATCATCACAAGGGCTCAGAAACTGTTTTAACCAATCAGGCAACTTGCTGAGAGAGCAGATGTGAATCAGGATCTGGGCTGTTGGAGTTTGTGTGTATGTCTGTATACAGTTCAACAGCCACTGTTTGCCCAAACTCGGATGCTGCCTACACCGAAAGTTGGGGTGCTGAAGCCCTGGAGGGTTCTGGGCAGGGGCATGTCTGGGCCAAGGAATTTTCCTAAGACTCTTTCTTTTCCCTTCTGTTTTCCTGAAGCAGTCAGTCACAGAAACCAACCTTTGATGTGTTCCACTTCATCCTCAAATGTCACTGAGCTCCTCCTCTTGGGCGGGCAAGTGCAGTGGGAGGGCGGGTTGTCATCAGACGTGTAGTCTTCAAGCAGCATCAAATCTGTTCCTAAAATGAGGGGCAGATTATGCATCCATCACCAGCAATACAAATCCTCCTCCTCTCTGTCAATCTGTTCCTTTCTTCCTCCTACCCTCTTTCAACACCCCTGGCAACCTGCTCTCCCAGTTATTAAAACCCATAATCTGGTGCAGCTTAACCGCCCTGCTCCATTTGCCCAAGAAACACCCCATCCCATTTCAGGGAGTCTGTAGACAGCCAGTGGGGCTGCTTCACACACATGAAACATACAGCCATGTTCTCCAAAGTAGTGGGCTATGTGCCACAACAAGCACAACACAGAAGTGTTAGATCAGCCAGACTGGGGAGAACGGCTCATAGGAAGACAAAAAAAAACAGTTCCTGTCCAGTTGATTCTGACTCGTGATGACCCCATGGGTGTCAGAGTAGAACTGTGCTCCATAGGGTTTCAATAGCTGATTTTTCAGAAGTAAACACCAGGTCTTTCTTCCAAGGTGCTCTGGGTGGACTCAAACTACCAACTCTGGTTAGCAGCTGAGTTTTAACAGTTTTTGCCACCCAGGGGCTCCCCGATGGGAAGATCGGGTCCTGTTAAAGGGAACTCTGTATTCATAGTGATTCTTCTTCCAGTTTAAATTTCTATCACTGTAGTTGAAATACTTTGTGCTAAATAAACATTTAAAAGTTGAAAATGTAAAATTCTGTGGGGACCAAAAAAAGATGGAAAAATTTACTCTCAAAGAGTGAATAAATAAAGACAGAGAAGTCCTATTAAAGGGAGCTGTGAAGAGCAGGCAGGGGGAAGAAGATGGGAAAAGACAGGGCAGGGAGGGGAAGAAGGGCTGAGACAAGACTCGTTGCTCAACAGTGCACTGGCCAGATATTGGGATGGAACATCGGTGACCAGCCTTAATCTCTGGCTTTCAATCCATCAAGGCCTTAGTGCTCAGGAAATTAGGAAGACTGGGAAGCCTGGAGCTCCTCAAATGTTGTTTCAGAACAACCTGGCAGAGTAGCTACTACCTTGTCTACAGAAAGAGCATTGCTTTGGAAAGCATTAGAATATGGTGGTGAAGTACATGGGTTTGAGAGTCAGACAGACTTAAGATAACTGGCAGATTTCTTAATCTCTCAGTCTTTCCACATCTATAAAATGGGGTTGTGATTCATTCTACCTCACAGAATTGTTGTGAGGGTTATGTAAGTTGAGACATGTCACAATTTAGCACAGTGCTTAGCACACAGCAGCTGTAAAATCAATGAAGTCATTACTAATAAGGACACAGCTAATAAACAGTGGAGCCAAAGTACAAACTGAGGTCAGTGTGACCCCAAAGCCTAGGCTCTTTCTTCTGCCTACAACACTATTCCCTTACTACTATTGCCTGGCTACCTCCTACTTATTCTTCAGGCCAACTCACTTCTTCAGACAGGCCTTTCCTGCTACCCCTGCCCCCACACCCCAAGTGACTCCCTGCCACGTGTTCCCATGGTGCTCCAGAGTCCCCTTTCATAGCTCTCATCACACCTGCGATCTTTTATAGCAACTTTATCAAGCTACAACACTCCCATCCTTTGCCAGCACATCCACACAAATGCCAGCCCAAGTGGGTAACAGATCTGCTGGGCTCCACGGGTCTTCTTCAGCAGTGGGAGCTGTGTATCTGCTCGCTCAAAAGACACACCCGGCCTCTGACCATCGGTCTCTTGCTGAGGCCCCATGGGGGTCCCGATGATACACTTGGCAAGTACAGGATGTATACTCACAGCTCCCCATGAATGGCCAGGGACAGGCTTGGACATCACAAGCCACCCACTTGGAGAGAGGAGTGGCCCTGAGTTTGCAAGATCCTTTAGGGAACAAGCTAAAGGCAGGGTGGTGGGGGATTTGCAATGCAGATGTATTTCTTCAGGGAAGACCAAGTTTCTCACAGGTGGGACAGCAGAGCATTGAACAAGGGTGGCAAAAATATCTGACATTCGTGGAAGGCTTCCACTGTGCCAGGAATTGAGATACGTGCTTTACATTCATTATGCCTTTTGATTCTCATAATAACACTTTGATATGGGGATTATTACCCTCATTTCACAAGTAGGGAAACTAGAAAGTTCTAACTAGGATATTAGAAAAAGACTAAGCGACATGGCTAAGATAACACGGCTCACTAGAAGCCCACAGGAGACTGGAACCTGGCAGGCTGACTCCAGAGCCTGCACTCACCAACAATTACTGTAATTACAGTAGAAACTCAGTCATTTAGCATTTTAACTTTACAAGGGCTTTTATTTAGTTTCAACCTCACAATACCCTGTGAGGCAGAAAAAACAGTAACTGTAATCCCATTTTATAGAGGAGGAAACTGAGGACAGAAAAAGTATATAGAGCAGGTTAGGTTTGCAAAGGTGCCACGACTGCCCGCATGCTCTTCCCACGCACCATGAGACAGTTCCCTCCTCCCAGCTGAGGCCTGTCTCAGGGAAACATAGCAGGTGGGAGGCTTATAATGTGTGAGGGTTACCTGAGTCCTGAGAGCAGCTGAAGCCGGTATCCCCAGTGCTGCTGCTGTGGCCCAGGGGGTGTCCACCTGCCACGAGCACCGTGAGGTGTGGAGACAGGCCCAGGTCTGAAAGGCAAGGTTGGTAGTGAGGGCACATCCACATCTTGATAGGAGCCCAGGGTCTGCTCTCAGCCATCCAGCCATCTGCCTCTCTCACTTCTGTCTCCCCACAAGGTCTCCCCTCCCACCTCCCTGTTCTCCTGTGCAAAACCTGCTCTCAACCCAATAAAGAACAAGAAGCCCTCAGCTGCTCTTTTCCCACTTGCCCCTTGCTCCTGTTCGGGGGTGTTTGCAGTGTCACAGGATTCACTGGGTGCCCCCAGAGGGTGCTCTTACGACAGTGTTGAACATGGGAGAGAAAATCTAAGGTGAGCAGTTGTGAGATCTTCCAGGTAAACATGGAGGATTTAACACCCATGTTTACCGCCTGAAATCCTACTTGAATGACAGAAAATAGATTAAAAAAAAAAAAAAAAAGCGGCTTAAACCTCAAAGTGGGGGTAGAATTTTTGGAAGCAGGAAAGGAGTAGATGGGTGAGTGTAATGAATCTGGTCTCGGGAAGAGAACCGAGGATGGTCGTGGGGGACAGGGGGCTGGAAGCAGGCTAATTATCAGGGCTCCAGATAGCTCAGTTGCTGGAGGCCCCAGGAGTCTCTGCAGGCAGGTAGAGCTTGGTTGGAAGGCTCTAGAGGGAGCAGTCGGACACCTCCAGTGCTCTGTGCTCTTCCTTAGGCTGGGTTGTGGGTGACTGACCCCCAATGCTGGCATGAGAGAAGAGAGTGACCGCGGGGGACTCTGGCCCTGAGGACACCAGGCACAGCTGGGGGCAGGGGAACACAGAAAAAACTGAGGGAAAAATGAGAGTCCATACATTGAACAGTGGAACCCCTGACCTCATTATCCCAGTCAACCTGGGCAAAGACTGGGGAGCTCTTCCCCAGAGAGAACCAAGACCTGAAGAGACTGAGAGCTGGGGGTGCCCAGGGAAATGGCCCAGCCAGACCACCTATGGTCAACAAGTCCCCCTGCCCCACAACCACCCAGGGCCCCCAATGGCTCTGTAGTACCTCATTATTAAAGATGAAGGACAGCCAAGGATCACTAGGCATTTAAGAAAAGGCTCTAATATGAGAGACAGAGGTGGAGGAAAAACAGGAAGAAAAGAAAAATGCATCTCAAGAGGAGACAGTGCAGAGCCTTAAGAAAACTGGAAAAAAAAATTCTAATTGGGTATCCTCAGAAAGTTAAAAAAAATAACGAATCCATGAAAAAGAGCTGGAAGCTATAAGAGAAGGAACATGGAGATAACAAGAGTACAAAAAATCAACACTCCTCAGATCTCACAAGAAAGTGCTACTGCCTAGCAGATTTAAAGACCCACTGTAAAAGACAGCCCTGTATTCTCCCACAATTTACTCATAGAGGGGGGAAGACCCCATTCATTAATTTTATCTGAATTCTTTTCAGGGTACAAGGTGACAGAATACACTTTCTCTTCTTCCCTGGAACTGGGGAAGATGACTGTCACAGTAGGCTTCTCCCACAAGTTCTATTCCTTTAAATTTGGGAATTCCACTTTTGCAAAGAGCCTGCCCCTCTGGTGGAGGCTGGCGTCAAGGGCTGGGAACAGAGAGGATCCCAAAATCTCCCCTGCCCCATGGCCATCCCCTCCACACCCCTCCGGGGTCGTGGCCTCAGAGCATGACTGCCTGGGCAGGAAGCCGGGTTGGGGAATGAAGCCTGTGGGAGGCCGTCTACCACCAGCTGGGATGACTGAAGCCACAGAGGGTTTGGGCACCAGCTCTGAAGCTGTGGTGAAAGCCAGGAACCAGTCCTGGTCTCCACCAACACGAGGAGCATCCGAGCCAGGCCAGTGCGGCTCAACTCAAAGGCCTGGAAACAAGGCAGTCAGGTGGCATCTCTCGCTTCTGTGTTTATCCAGAGTTGACCATCGAGAGTGGGAACAGTTACCCTGAGATTTGTCACATGAACACAAAATAGCTACTGAGCTGGGCTCAATACAACCTCTTTACAAAAAAAAGAAAAAAGGCACAAAGGGACAGGCCCCAGGGATGAGGTTTATGCCTCCCCAGAAGCCTGGCCTTTCAGAAGGCCAAAAGAGCATAAGCAACATTCTGAGGTGAAACAGGCACTCTGAAGTAACCAGAAGGCCTCTGAGTACCACCTGAGGGGACTGGGAAAAGCAAGGCAGGAAAATTCAAAGGTCCCCTCCCTCCAGCCCAACCTCTCAAACAAGGATCTGGAACAAAGCATTTTCCTTTGTGTAAATGTGAGTCAGTGTCTCCTTCCCAGAGGCCGCCTGGAAAGACTCCATGCCCACGTACAGGAGATCTGAGCGTCCACCCCAGGCGAGGCTGCCACAATGCTCAGGCCACCTTCTAGGTCTGGGGTGGAGTGGGGCCTGGACTTTCCAGACCTATCTGGGGTGAAGGGTCTGGACTTGCTGGTGGAAAAGTTGATATAGGAGCTAGTTGCCCCTTCTCCTGAAAGCCTCTTCTTTCCTCTGATTACCTAGAATCGCCTTCAGCTTTGGATTTGTGGTTTGGGATCCCACCTTTTAGCACTAGAAGTCAATGTCCACTCCAAGGTTGACCTGACACTATGAGGTCATTCTGCCTGTCAACCTCCAGGTAGCCCAGAGATCTAGATTCCTAGGTAAGCCCTCCCACTAGGAATCTGCTAATGAGAAGCTATTTTGGTAGCTCCATGGTACCTGGCCCCCCCAGGGAAAACCTGAGCATTAGCACTTCTTCAATTTGGGGCTAACTGAATGAGAAAACCAAAATCCATTGATTATGGCAAAAATCTGCTATGTATAAAATAAACAACATGACAGTGTGTTGATAAGACTCCTGGTATCCCGGACTCAGCTGGGAAGCTCCAGGTATTTGTGGAATTCCACTCTGTCTTTGCTCATAAACATGGTTGAGGAGTTTACAATTCTGTTTACTGATTTCTTTGGTTAAAGCTTCCCAGGTGCCGACACAAATTGAGAGGAGCAAAACAAAGACAGAACCTCCAAGTCATGTCTTGCTGGCTTTAGAATGGATCATGCCATCTTTCTTACCTTGTGCTAGCATTCGGAGTAAGGGTGTTCTCTGAGGATGAGGGAAGGGGCCTGGAAGCAGGCTGGGGAGCAAGGGAAGTAGATTCAGGCTTAGGAACGTGCTGCAGATCAAACTCATGCACACAGAGGGCATTAGACCAGGGCCTGTTCAGCTCTGATTCAGAGGAACTAGGGACATGAGGCCAAGGCCAGGATTCTCCTCAGTGATAAAGCAGGCACAGCACGGGGCATGGACTGGATGGGCACTTTGTTTCCAAGACTTCTCAGGGACTTTCAGGGAGGAGCCAATAAGGATTCTCCAGGTCCCAATCCTGGAAAAGGCCAGCAACTAGGAACTCATTATCCCACAAGACTGCCTTTCCCTACATGAGGAGAAGACTGCCAATGCCCTTGGACTTCCAAAGGAAACCACAGCTGGTGTTCTTCCACCTGTTCTCACAGCCTCTCGAACTCTTCCTAGGATAATCAAAAGTGCCTTATGTGGAAAATCTGGGCCTAGAAAGCAAATGTTTCTTTTTATTCTATCTACCCTCCCCTCCTCCACTTTCTTTCCTCATTTATTGGCTTCCTCATTCTTAACTTCATTGAAATAGAAAACGTCTATTATTCTTTTGCCTAGAAGATGAGTGATTTTATAAAATCTGAACAAATAAGTTCACTGGTGGAAATAAGCCAAACACTGGATGTATTCTTGGCCACTAGTCTTATGGGCTTGTGGAAAATATGGGCTTGCAAGTGGTGGTGGTAGGGGAGGGTGGGCATTTCAGTGGTTAAAATATGTGGATACAGAGAGATCATGTTCTTCTATGGGCAAAAAAAAAGCCCCAGACTTCCTTCCTCTCTTAAGAAGTAACTCTCCATCAATACATAAAATAAATCAGAGATGTTCTCTTTCTTAATTACCATATGGAAAGGATCTTCCATCACTGCCACTGAGCAGTCACGATGATTGTTGTTAGCTGCCATGGCACAGGTACATAGCTCACGGCAACCCCACCCACAATGAAACAAAATGCTGCTCAGTCCTGCACCACCCCCATGATTACTTTCAGATTGGATTGTTTTGATCCAGAAGGTTTTCACTGCCTGATTTTCGGAAGTAGATTGCCAGGCCTTTCTTCCTAGTCCATCTTAGTCTGAGAGCTCAGCTGAAACCTGTTCAGCATCATAGCAACATGCAAGCCTCCACTGACAGACGGGTGGCAGCTGCACAAGAGGTGCACTGAACGGGAATTGCACCCACCTGGGTCTCCCACATGGAGCGTAAGAATTCTACCACTGAATCACCGATGCTCCCGTGTCATAATAATTAGGAGTCATTATTCTTTTCTAGCACCTTGAGAGGGAAGGTGAAAGACCTCTCTAGTTCATGAAGAGAAAAATCAACTAGAGAGGTTTGATGACTTCCCCAAAGTCATTTGGCAGAAGACTAGAACTAAAGCGTGAACTGGCTCTTTCTAAGTATGATGTAATAAGTGCCCTCAAAATATCTCTTTCAATGGCTTGTCAAGGTCTTCCTAAAACTTGGCCCTAAAAATCCAACTACTTCACCATTAAAACAGTAATAACTGCTACAGGCAAGATTCATCAATGTGTGCTCAAAGTAACAGGTGAAAGTTGAAGGTGAAAGAGGATATTTGCATAGTGTCAAAGTATCTTTCCCTCAAATATTTATTAATTACAATCGGAAAACAGTGACTTTATGGTCACCATCTTAACCAATAAATCAAGGTTAACATCACTAGCAGTAACACATGCTGATATCACGTACCCCTTGGTATGATGCACTAGGAAGAGCATGTCACCCCTGTGGCACTCTCACCAAAAATACATCATCTCATTCCAACCCTGAGAAAACGGCAGGCATTCTACAAAATACCTGACCAGTACTCTTGAAAAGTGTTAAGGTCATGGAAGATAAGGAAACACTGAGGGAGTGTCACAGGCTGAACTCTGTAGTACACATCCAACTCTTTCGTAGGCCTAAAGTGATTTCACAGTAAGAATTAAAAATAAATCTAGCTAGTGAATAAAGCAGTTCCTCTGGGTCTCACCAAAGTTGGTGGCATTGTCTCCAGAAACCTGTTAGCACTGAATCAGTTGTCAAATGGAGAAGCCACCTGACACATACAAGGTGGTGACGATTCAATGGGCAGGAGGTGGCTGAGGTGTGGCAGAGACACACTGTTAAACACCAGGGACAAAATGAGGAAACCATGGACCTATGAGGAAAGGCCTAAGGTGGAGTATGATTGGGAATGAAGGAGAGGTCAACTGGTTGAGGAGCTGAGGCATGGGTGGTGAAGGAGGGGTGCTGAAAAAGAGGGAACATGGAAAAGAAAGGATTTGCCAAGAGAATAAGGCAGCCTGGTCTAATACCTGAGGTTCTTTTTTCTCTAGTATAGAAATAACTATACTCTTGAGGTCAGTGGGCCATGGCAAGGTATAGAAAATGAATTCTGAACTGTGATGTCCTCTAATTCTTTTGGGATACACTTTAGGATGCTATGGTGGCCTCCTCCTCAGCAAGGCCTGGGGCTGCCGAACTCTGGAAAGCCAGCTGGGAATCACAGTGGACACTATGCTTTCGGCCTTTAGGCAACATGCTAGAGCAGTTAATGGGATCACAGGCTACACCTGCCTTAACGGTGGGTATCCCTTTCCTGATCAGCTCCCAAGTTACCTGTGATCCTGTTGGAAATGCTGAAGAGCCTGGACGTCCTCTGTCGCTGCACAAATGGTTCCCGATAATATCGGTCCCCAAAGCACATGCCCAGTAGTTCCTTGCGAACTGTCTTGTTCCAGAGTCCATAGATCAGAGGGTGGCAGATGGCGCTAGTGAAGGACAGCCATGTGGCCCAGGTCTCCAGGGTCGGGGAGACATAGTTCTTCCCACAGAGGGCCTCAGAGGTGATGACAACCATGTAGGGACCCCAAGTGACCATGAAGGCTCCAATGACCACCAGGATGGTGATGAGGGCTTTGCACTGGTTGGCCGAGTAGACCACGCCCTGAAAGGCATTCCTCCTGCTGCCTGAGGAGGAGGTGGAGGTGCTAGAGTTTTTTCTCCCATTCCTCTGGGCATCCTCCTCCACGATGACCACAGTGCCACAGTGCACCTTGCGTGCCTTGACCCTGGCCACGCGGAAGATGAAGCCATAGCACACCAGCATAACCAGGAAGGGGAAGAGAGCACACCAGATCTGCCAGAAGGCAGTGTAGCCAGGCTCCCGGTGCCATGCAGCTACACACATCCACTTGAACTCGTCAAACTCCACTGATGACCAACCAAATAAGGGGGGCAAGCAGCCGACGAGGGAGTGAAGCCAGATGTAGACAAGGGCCATCACAGCTCGGTTCCCCGTGATCTTCATGGGATACACCATGGGGTAGAGGACAGCATAGTAGCTACATAAAGGAAGGAGGGAGGAGACAGAGGCGTCAAAAGAGAGAGAGAACACACCAGGGATGGTGCCCACTGTTTTCCTGGGTGGAAGCTCTGTGAATTTCTCTTATCCAACCCAAACATGGGGTGAATGCTTTTAAAAGAAGCACCTTTTCCCAAATCTCCCAGACCATTCACACACATGGTTCTACAGGACTCTTCGTCAGTGAAGAGCTGGATGCCAAGAAGAGCGCAGGGCTCAGGCAGCCCTGCTTCCAACTGCCCACACCAGAGCACATCCACATTGGGGGGTATGGTCAGTCTAAAGGACCATGCATCAGGCCAGGTCAGTTCTGCTGTTGCTGACATTGCTCATTTTTAGACCAGTTTTCAGGGGGATCAATAAGACCTAGAAGAATATCCAAAGACTGGGTTTCATTCAGTCTATGAATATTGACTGAGGGCAGACAGGTGGGCAGGGCCCTGGGCATGCAAAGCCTTGTAGGCCTAGCTAAGAACTGACCCTTTAACTGGAACGGGTGGAAAGCTTTAGCCTTGGGGTTGAAACAAAACCTACCTGCCCCACACAGACATTTTATTCATGGGAAATGCTGTTTAAATGAATAGGCCATTTCCATGAGGGCAATGTGTGAAAGGGACTGAAGGTGGCTGCACCGATGCTGCCTGGTACCAGGCAAGGTGTTATGAAATGATTGTGGACGGGCCCTGGTGGCGAAGTGGCTAAGCGCTCAGCTGCTAACTGAAACATCAATGGTTAGAACCCACCAGCCACTCCATGGGAGAAAGATGTGGCAGTCAGGTTCTGTAAAGATTTACAGCCTTGGAAACTCTATGAGGCAGTTCTACTCTGTCCTGTAGGGTCACTGTGAGTCAGAATCAACTCGATGGCAACGGGTTAATGCCCCTCAAATGTCACCAGAGAAGCTGCCTCCTCTACCAGGACTTCCCTGAGTCACCCTTAGGCACCAGCTGCTCAGAGACAGGGCCACAAGCCTGAACTGCCACACACTGACTGGGTAAACTCTCCCAGAGGTGCCACCTCCTCAGTCTTCATCCTTTGTTAAGGGTCTTCCCAGTCGGGTAGGTCTGGGCTGCTCAGATCTGGAGCTCCACTAAAATTAGGAACAAAAAAACATAAACCATCTACAGCTATCTCAAGGTGAGCATACTAACTTATGCAGTAAACAGTCTCCTAAACATACCAGTGATCTTCACATAGCTAACTACCCCATAGTACCAGCACCTTCATTTATCAAAATACTATGTTTAGAACCAGAGTTATATCCACCACAATATGGTATAAAAATATGCGAAATGTTTTAAATGGATCTGGAGCTGTAGCAGCTTTGTGGCTAATCTAAAGCTGGCCATGTTGCAGACTTACAGTAAAACTCTTCAAAGGTCTAATCATGTCCCCAGCAGGCTCTTTTCCACTTGGACTGGTTTAGGACGTTGAAATTTAAACAGTGACTTTCACTCCAGTCAGATATTCTGTTCTGTTTTGTTTTTAATTTTATTTAAGTTTTTGATGAAAATTTACACAGCAAGATAGGTTCCCATTTGACAATTTCCATACAAATTGCTCAGTGACCTAAGTTGTATTTAACACAATGTGTCAACATTCTCTTTAATTGCATTCTAGCTGTTCCCTTCCCAGTACTCTAGTTTCTCTGTCCCCTTATCATCTCATCTTCCTTTTGAGAAATTGTTAACCTTCAGGTCTCATACTGATTTTTTTTAAGTAGAGCACTGATCTAACAGTAACATCCTCTATTTTGTGTGCCACTCTGCTATTTCACTAAAAGGTGATCCCAGGGGATAGGCTCGGCTCTAGGTTTAAAGAATGTCTCAAGGAGGTGGTCTCAGGGAGTCCTCTGTTCTCCACCATTCCAATTTGTCTGGCTTTTTCTTTTCTTTTAGTAAGAATTTGAGTTCTGCTTCTCATTTTTCTCCCATTCTATCCAGTACCATCTATTGTGGTCCCTGTCAGAACAGTCAGTGGTGGTAGCTACACACCATCTAATTCTTCTGGTCTTAGGGTAGATAAGGTTGTGGCTGGTGTAGACTTGTTTCTTCTCTGAGAGTTTGGTTACCTTCTTACTGTTTGGTTCTTGGCGAGTAGAGACCCGTAGTTGTGTCTTAGATGGCAGCTCACAACCTTTTAAGACCCCAGATACTGCCCACTTCACTAGGATGCAGATCATGATTTTCGTGAACAATGTTACGCCAATTGACTGAGTTGTCCCATGAGACTATGTTCTTAAGCTTTCAAACCCAGAAAACCAATCTTGGGAGGTGTTTGGTTACGTCTGAGGAATGTCCATATTTGTGTCTTCAATGAACATATGTGCCTGCACCCACATATTTGTATTTACACATAGCTATAAAACCCAGAAACCAAACCCGTTGCCACTGAGTCAATTCCAACTCACAGCGACCCTATTGGACAGAGTAGGACTGCCTCATAGGGTTTCCAAAGAGCAGTTGGTGGATTCGAAATGCCCATCTTTTGGTTAGCAGCTGAGTTCTTAACCACTGCACCACCAGGGCTCTACACATACCAATAGATATTTCTAAAAGGAACCCTGGAGGCACAGTGGTTAAAGCACTTGGCTGCTAACCAAAAGGTCAGCAGTTCGAACCCACCAGCCACTCTGTGAGAGAAAGATGTGGCAGTCTGCTTCGTAAACACTTACAGCCTTGGAAACCCTAAGGGGCAGTTCTACTCTGTCCTATAGGGTTGCTATGAGTTGGAATTGGCAGTGGGTTTGGTTTTTTGGTTTTATAGATACTTCTATTTGTTCTCACCTGTACACACTTGTATCTACCCATGTACCAATATGCATATATTCATCCACACATACTCAGACACTCGTTTTTACTTTGGTTGTGCTGTGCTCACTGCATCCACATTCCCATCACCAAAACAACAAGTCTCTATGATCTAAAGGGTAATTTCCCCTCTCCCTTTCTCTCCCTGGTAACCACCAATGAACACTGGTCTCTCTGTATATATCTATTCTTTTCTTCTTATAAAAGAGGGATCATACAATATTTGTCCTGATATGACTGACTTACGTCACTTAGCACTATGCCATCTAGGTCCATCCGTGTTTAATATTGTAACCTGACCCTACGAATGCCAGTAAATTTCCATTAGTCCTTAAACCAGCCCAAGCCAGATTTGGCCCACCCCATGTGTGCAGAAGGGCCAGCTGTGACCATTAGTTGACCTCAGCAGAGGAAGCAGCAACAGGTAGAACAAATCAGAAGGAAAATCATCATCCGGACCCCATTCCGAAGCGAGAGATCCGACAAGAACCACGTCACCTCCTGTTTTCTGGCCACCATAATTCCTGCAACGTCTTCCTTCTAGAATTTTCCCTACTCAGTATGCCTGCACGGCCGCCATCTTGCTGCCCAAATCACATATAAGCTCTGCTTCCCCATTGCTTGGGAATTGGATCTGAGGAACTTCCTCCTGGCTCCTTGTTCTACACACTGCAATAAAGTTACTTTCTCTTTCTCAAAGACCGGTGTCCAGATCATTGGCAAGTCTGAGCATGCTGGACAAGGACCCACCATCCTGAGTTTGGCAACAATATGTTTCATGGACTCATCATTGTTCTTTATGGTTGTGAAGTATTCCATTGTATGTATGTACCACAATTTGCTTATCAATTCATCCACTGATGGGCACTTCGGTTGTTTCCTTTTTATTTATTTTTTCTTTTTTTGCTATTGTGAATAAAGCAGCAATGAATATAGGTGCGCATATGTCTGTTTGTGTCATTATTTTTAGGTCTCTAGGCTATATACCTGGGAGTGGGATTCCTAGATCATAGGGTAGTTCTATTTCTAGTTTTTTGAGAAAGTGTCATACCATTTTCCACAGTGGTTATACCGTTTTACAGTCCCACCAGCAGGATAAGGGTTCTAATCTCCCCACATTCTCCCCAACATTTGTTATGTTTTTGTTTTTTTTAATCAATGTCATTTTAGCCGGGGTGAGATGGTATCTCATTGTAGTTTTGATTTGGATCTCTCTAATGGCTAATGATAGTGAACATCTTTTCATACTTTTACTGGCTGCTTGGATGTCCTTGTTGGTGAAGGTTCTGCTCATATCCTTTGACCATTTTGTGAGTGCACTGTTTGTCTTTTTGTTGTTAAGTTGTTGCAGTTTTCTGTAGATTTTGGAGATTAGACCCTTAATGGATAAGTTTTTTTGAAACATTTTTTCCCAGTCTGTAGGTTGTCTATTGACTCTTTTAATAAAGTCTTTGATGAGCATAAGTTTTTAATTTTTACAAGATCTCATTTATCTATTTTGGCTTTTTCTATTCATGTATTTGTTGTAATGTTTGTTATCCTATTTTTACAAAAGGTTAGGTCCCATAGCTTGCTCCCTATGTTTTCTTCCATGAATTTTATGGTTAAGGTTTAGGTCTTTGATCCATTTTAAGTTAGTTTTTGTGTACGGTGTGAGGTATAGGTCCTGTTTCATTTTTCTGCAGGTGGATATCCAGTTTTGCCAGCACCATTTATTAAAGTGGCTGTTTCTACCCCACTGAATGGGCTTTGACCGCTTGTCGAATATCAGTCGTACACAGATGACAAGGCTTAAGTCTGAGTCCTCAATTCTATTCCACCGGTCTATGTGTCTATCATTGAAATAATACAAGGCTCTTTTGATTACACCAGCTTTATAGTATGTTTTGATATCGGGGAGTGTGAGGCCTCCTGCTTTGTTCTTTTTCTTCAATATTGCTTTGGCTATTCAGGGTTTCTTTCCTTTCCATATGAAGCTGGCCATTAGTTTTACCATTTCAGTAAAGAATGTTGTTGGAATTTGTATCAGGATTGCTTTGTATCTGCAGATCGCTTTAGGTAGAATTGACATATTCACTATATTAAGTCTTCAGATCTATGAGCAGGGGATGTGTTTCCATTTTTGTAGGTCTTTTCTATTCTCTTGTACTAGTGTTTTATAATTTTCATT